CCGCGCGCTCTGTCTCCCCCTCTCGGCCTCTACACTCAGCTCACTTCCCACTTCTCTTTCTTCACGCCCCCACCCCCGGGCCCAACAAACACTTGTCTCCCACGGCTCAACTGTTCCTTGGATTTGTTCCTGAATTTCACCGTCACCTCCTATCTGGTCTTTCTCCCTGTCTTTCCACTCCTGCCCAGCTTCTGAGAGTCCTCTATAGTCCATCCTTCCTACTCGTCTCTCACCTTCAGCCTCTCATTCATGTGAGTCATTATTTCAAGACATAGGTATTGAGTGCCTACTGTATGCCAGGTACTGTTCTGAGCACTGGGGTTATGGCTGTGAACAAAACAGACCCAAGTCCCTGTCCCTATAGGTTATATTTGTGGAGAGAGATGTAACGAATCCGTAAGTATATAGAGCACGTTAGGTGATGTGGAGTTTTACAATGAACTTCATCCCAAGAATTTGATCTTTGTCCTTGGTTCCTGAGAGATGACCTCTAAACCTTTGGAATTCCTGTAGGGACTGGAGTCTTCCTTATTTTTGAGGGATCCGGATCACACCTGTTGTTAGCATAGTGGCTAAGGCACTTGACTGCTAACCAGAAGGCTGGCGGTTCAAACCCACCAGCCACTCCTCGGAAGGAAGGTTGGGCATTCCTACTTCCGTAGTGATACTGCCTTGGAAACCCAAGGAGGGGTCGCTATGAGTCGGGGTGACTCGATGGTAAACAACAACAACAACAACAAAAGACCACACCTGAGCCTTTATGCCTGGAGGTTGAGCTCAAGGATGGGATTCAATCGATCCCGTCAGTCATGTCTCCATCATGAGACCCCAACATAAAAGCAGGAGCTGAAGTGCAGTGAGCTGTCTGCTGGTGAGGCTCGGATGCCTGGGGGATGGTAGTTGGTCCTTCGGGACAGGAAGCTGCCTGTGGGGACAGCTCTTGCCCTCTGCATCTTTGTTTTTGTATTCTCTTTGGTACAATAAAATTCTAAGTGTAGCACTTTTCCTTAGTTCTGTGGGTCATTCTGGCAAGATTTCAAACCTGACGGGTTAATGGGTATCTCCAGATTTGTAGCCACCAGGTCAGAAGTAGGGGTGTTGTGGGGACCTTCCCCAAGCTTACAGCTGGTGTCTGAAGTCTTGGGCAGATCTGGCAGTTGGAGGACTGTGCCCTTTAACCTTCGAGCTCTGACCTGCTCTTGGTGGTTAGGCCCAGAGGGAGAAGCGTGACATGTGCATCTGGTGCCAGAGACTCAGAGTCAGCTCAAGAGTCTGAGTTGGCCTCAGAAGGCAGAGAGATGGCCTCACTGGAGAAAAATAAAGTAGAGAAGAACGGTAGGAAGGTGGGGGGGCCATGCTGAATTTTGAGATCGGGTGGTCAAGGAGTCCTCTTTGAGAAGAAGACATTCAGGTCAAGATGCAAAAGGAGGGAAGCGCTGGGTGAACCACATGGGAGAAGAGCATGCTGGGCGGCGACACGGCGGGGGGTGAAGGTGCTGTTACTGACCGAACGGGGTCCGTCCCCCAATACCCAAAACACACATAGGAATCCTAAGGGGAGCTCTGGTAGCATAGTGGCTAAAGCACTTGACTGCTAACCAGAAGGCTGGCAGTTCAAACCCACCAGCCACTCCTAGGAAGGAAGGTTGGGCAATCTACTTCCTTAGTGATACTGCCTCGGAAACCCAAGGAGGGCTCGCTATGAGTCAGGGCTGACTGGATGGCACATAACAACAACAACAACAACATACCAGTGGCTGTCATCCCTTCTGAAAATAGGATTTTCTTGGTTGTGTTAATGAGGCCCTATAGGTGCAGGGTGTGTCTTAAACCTAATCACTTTTGAGATGTAAAAAGAGCAGATTGGGTACAGAGACAAGGGAAGACAAAGGGGAAAGACATGCCATGTGGAGGCCACCAAGGAACCAGAGGGTGTGGAGGAGAACATGAGACCGCCGAGGCAGGGATGTGGGGGACACCGGACCGGCCGAGGCAGGGATGTGGGGGACACCGGACCGGCCGAGGCAGGGATGTGGGGGACACCGGACCGGCCGAGGCAGGGGTGTGGGGGACACCGGACCGGCCGAGGCAGGGGTGTGGGGGACACCGGACCGGCCGAGGCAGGGGTGTGGAGGAGAGCACCGGACCGGCCGAGGCAAGGATTTTGGCCCAGAGTCAACACAGAGCCTTCCTTCCCTAGCGCTGGTACCCTGACCTTGGACTTCTAGCTTCCTAAACTGTGAGAAAATACATTTCTGTTCATTAAAACCACCCACTGTGTTATTTCTGGCACAGCAACACTGAGAAACAAAGACGGGTGCTGAGGCAGAAGCAGCTTAGCATGTCTGAGGAACAGCCAGAGGTCAGGGTGCTTGGAATGGGGGACACAAGGGAGAGAGAGGGAAGGGGTGAGTCAGAGGAGCAATGAGGGCCTGGTCTCGCAGGCCTGTGGGACATTATAAAGCTGCCGACTTTGTCTCTGAGTCAGATGGGAGCTCCTGGAGAGAGCACTGTGACTTCAGGGGATCGTGCTGGTGCTGCGTCGAGAACAGACTGTAGGCAGGCCAAGCAGGGAGCCCAATGAGGAAGCGACTACAGTAATGCAGGTGGGAGGTGGTGGTGGCTGGGCCAGACTGATGGTGGTGAAGGAAGGAAGAAGGAGCTTAAGAGAGCCAATAGGATTTGCCCAGAACACTGACTGGGCATGGAAGAGGGAAGAGGTAATAGGGTAACTTCACACTTTTCGGCCTGAGCAACAGTAAGGATGGTGTTGCCTTGTGAGTGGACAGGAGTTCAGTATTGGATACAGTTATGGTGAGATGCCTAACAGGCAACCATATGGAAATGTCAGGTACGGAGTGGAATTTACAAACCTTGAGTTCAGGGTGGAGGGCCCTGTGGGAGATACACATTTAGGAGTTATGGTAGCCAGCCTCCAAGATCCCGCCCCAGTGATCCCAACACTTGGTGTTCAAGTCTTTGAGTAATCCCCTCTCACACTGTATCATGGTTGGTGTGTGAAATGAACTGAATACAGCTCAATCATCAATAGCATTTGGGCTTCTGCCTTGGTTTCTCTCGGATCACTTGCTCCAGGGGAAGTCAGCTGCCACATCATGAGGACACTCAAGCCATCCTCTGGAGAGGTCCTTGTGGCAAAGAACCGAGGCCTCCTGCCAAATGCCACGTTAAGTGCACCATCATGGAGTGGATCCTCCAGCTCCAGTCAAGCCTTCAGACAGCAGTGGCCAACAACTTGACTGCAATTTCATCAGAGATTCTGAGCAGCCACAACCACTCAGCCAAGCTGCTCCTGAATTTCAGACCCACAGAAACGGATACGTTTGTGGTTTTGGGGTAATTTGTTATGTAGCAATAGATAACGAATACAGGAATCATCCACATATAGTTTTAAAAGCCATTACCCTGGCTGGCATTACCAAGGGAGTGTAGAAAGACAGAGAAGAGAAGTCCAAGGACTACCCAACAGAGGTTGGGGAGAAAGAGGGCCCCAACAAAGAAGCTGGGGGAGGGCTGGCCAGAGAGGCAGAGGCAAGTGAGGAGAGCACGGTGTACTGGAACGGGTTTTGAGGGGAGGCAGTGCTACCGAAACGTCATGTACAGTGAGGACTCAGACTTGGCCTTGGAGGTCAGAACAGGGAGGTGACTGGTGACGAGAGTGGGTCCAGTGGACTGAGGAGGGACAGCACTGGATTGGAGTGGGCCTGACACTGAAGGGGAAGCAGCAGGGAGAGGCAAGCCTTTCAAGGCGTCTGGCTGTGAAGGGCAGCGGAGAAGTGGCTGGTAGCCAGAAGGGGAAATGGGGTCAAGGAAGAGTTTCTTTAAGATGGGAGAAACAGCAGCACCTCTGTATGCTGAAAGGATTGATCCAATGAGGAGAGGAAGGCTGGTGACACTGGAGGAAAGGCAGCAGGTGTCCTCGGGAGAGAGGGGGGATCAGGCACAGGCTGGGAGGCCCTAGCCAGGGGCACGGACGGCTCCTTCAGAGCAACTGGTGCGGGCACGTGGAGTGGCAGGGGCCAGAGGAGGAGTGGGCCACTGGACCAGTCTCTCCTGACACCTTTACTTTTCTCAGGAAGTGACTTCATCAGGTGAAAGTGAAGAGGGGAGGAGAGGTTGGAGGCTGGCCAAGAGAGAAGGTAGGAAGGAGCTGTCCAGGAGCCCAGGAGCGCAAATGGGCAGAGCGATGTGGTGTAACTGTTGGGAGCATCGAGGGACCCCTGACGGCTGGGATCCTGAGTGAGTTGTGAGACGGCAAGTCCGTGTTTTCTTTCAGCTTTGTCCGGCCGCATTCACACTGCCCCATCCTCATTTCTTCTCATTGTCTCCTGCTTTGCCACTTCTGTTAATCCTCACATCTTTCCTTCTGCCCCTTCTCTTCTTCCGGCACCCTCAGCTCTCCCTGTGACGCCTGCCCTTCCTCTTCCTTGCTCATGACCTTGGGCTTGCTCTGTCCTCCTGTTTGCCTCTCTCAGCTCTCTGGCACCTCCTCATCTCCCAGATCCTCCTTCAGCTCCCCGACTCCCCAGGCCCTGCTTACCTCCTGTATCCCTTCTCCCCTTCCCCAGACCCCCGACCTTAGTCATGGCTCCTGATGCCACACCCCTTAGCTCTGGGGGTCCTGCTGCTCCCCCTCCTCCAACCCCCCACCAACCTCCTCACCTCTTCAGACTCTGCCGACCTCCGCGTGGACCATATGAACTCCATGACCGCCACAAAGACAGCAATGATGAGGCCACAGATGAGCACAACAAAGATGCCACCAATGTTCTCCATGCCCAAACCTGGGGGCAAGGGGGACAGCCACGTGGTCAGGGCTGCATGGGCACAGGGCTGCAAGGGGGAGGTCTCACGTAAGGCACATGGGGGGGCTGACCTTTAGCTCGATGGTCTTCTTCCTTGGGGCATCGGCCCCCCTCCCACCACTTGCGCTTCAGGATCTCCAGCCGGTTGTTCTCCTGCAGCTGCAAGATGGCCAACGTGATCTCATCCCGGAATGGGGAGCCTGAGCCGGCAGAGGACGGAGGGGCCCTCAGGACTCCAGCATCCTGCCCATCCTAGTCCCAGACCTCCCCCTTACCATGGCCATCCTGCCCACCTCAACAGCTTCCCCAGGGTCTTCCCAGTCCAGCCTCAAGTCTGACCACTGCTCACCACCTCTCCTGCAGCCCCTGGACTAGGCCCCCGTTACACCACATCCTCACCTCTGCTACCACCTCCCTGCTGCTTACCCCCATCTCCTACCCATTTTGTCTCAGCACGGCAGCTAGAGAGACATTTGGATATACAGTTACAGCAACCACTGTCCCCAACCCCTCTGGCTTCTCCTGCAACCCCCACCGCTCTCAGCTCAGCCACACTGGCCTCTGGAATCCCCAAGCCCAACCCCACTTTAGCACCTCTGCACTCTGCCTAGAATGTTCTCCCCTCACTTCATTCAGGTCTCTGCTCAGAGGGTGCCTCCTCAGGGGGTCTTCTCTGTTGACATTATTTTAAAAGGACCAATCACCCCATTGATTGCCAGTTTCTGCCCTTTTATTTACTCAGACCAGCGGCCACACCTGATATTCTTATCTCTGAGCATTTATTGTCTGTCTGCTGTCTATTGACTAGAAGGTGGGGGTGGCTCCTTGGCAGATCCCCAGGCTCTGGCGCGGTAGCTGGTACTCAGTAGGGCACCAGATACATCTGTTGAGTGAATGAATCCTCATCTATACCTCTCCTCTGCTTTTCCCTAAGCTTGGGCCACCTCTCTCCTGCCAGATGCACCCCTTAAACTATCCTCGGGTCTCAGCCCCCCTGTTTTAGACTCATTTCTTCGTTCACTAAGGTACTGGATGGGCATCTACCATAGGCCAGGAACTAGGGCACAGTCAAGTGAGGGTGATCAGTGTTTATCAGGCACCTACTCTGTGCCAGACCTTTGGCTTATAGACATTTATTTGGGTCTCACAGCGACCCTGGGAGGCAGGGATTACTTTCTGGATCTGGAAGGTGACACTCTTGCCTAAGGTCTTGGAATGAGTCAGGGAGGATCTGGGATTTGGTTCCAGGTCAGTGTGACTCCAGAGCCTGTCCCCCCAAGCTGTACTGTTCCCTAGTGTAGCACTGCTTCTACTGCAAAGCTGTTAAGTCTCAGGGTACTCTTTTTAAATGCAGGAATAGATAAAGAGTACAGGAATCATTTGCATATAGATGGATTTCAAAGCCAAAATTCCCAGGACAAAATTTGGTGACAAAATTTGGTGATGGTTTCTGACCCTGAGCCCTGGACAACATGTTCTGAAGTAAAATTAGGCATGTCTAAGTCTCCCTGGTAGATCCGTCTGTCCACTCATCCATCCATCAATCCATCCACCCACCTATCCATCCACCAATCTACCTATCCACCCACTCATCCAACAAATATTTACTGAATGCCTTCTATGTCCGTCCAACTATCCATCCACCCAACAAGCACTTTCTTATGACCTGCACTGAGGCAGGCTGTGGGTTTGGTAGGGAATATGAAGGAAATAAAACCAGTTCCTCACCCTCAGAGGGCCCTCAGGCCAGTGGGGAAAGACCACAAGCATCACAGCCTACAGGCATGGAATTTTATATACCAAGTCTCACTGGATTCTTCCAATAGCTCCACTGAGCCTAGAACTGATTGCTTCTAGGCCCATTTCTCAGGTTGAGGGTACAGAGGCTCAGGATGGTGACATCACCTGCCTGAAGCCCCATCGCCAGGAAGACACACACACACATGCACACACACACAGCTTGCCTCAGGGAGACCCTAGCCCAGTCCGCAGCCCGCTCACACACCTTGGTTTCTGATGCCCCTACCCCTTCCACACATGGTGCCATACCCAGCGGCATGCCGATGCCGTAGCCCTTGGTGTCGAGGAGGCCCCCGATCTGGGTGAGGTTGCAGTTGAGGCGCCGGTGGTACTCATTCATGGTGGACTCCAGCAGGAAGGCGTAGCGGGAGTTGAGGACACGGGCGATGCCCTCTTCTGTGCTCTTGACAAACACACTGGGCTGTTTTGATTGCATGTAGTTCCACATTCGCTGGTACGTCTGGTACCGTGAATTCTGGGCAGAGGGAACACAGGAGGAAGAAGCGTGAGGGTCTCTGTACACCGCTTCCTTCCCAGACAGAGCCCTGTCCTCTGCCCTTCAAGAAGGCTCCCACTAGTCAAGAAAGAAGTGAGAAGAAGACAGAAAAAGCCAAAGACAGAGTCAAACTGAGGACTGTCCAAAGCCAGACCCAAGTCATGCCCACGTCCATCAGCCTGGCGCAGGCCCTGGGAACCCAAGGCCTAGGGAAGAAGGGCTCATGGTCTCCTTCCCAATCTGTCTTGCCTGTCTTCACCCCGACCTAACACCAGTGCCATCTCCAAAGCTCTGAAGCCTTAGTCACAGAAGCTGGAAGCACGTGCTCAACCCCCAAATCTTCTCAGGGCCCAGGCTGACGCAGGGAGATCCACATCCATACCTGGCAGGACAGCTCACATCCCACAGGCTCAGTGGATGCCTTCTGGGGAATCATCTGCCCCAACCCCTGCTACAGACCTAGGGCTTTGCAAGCCCTGACGAGTGAAGGGTGTGGAGGTCAGGTGGAAAGGACCACCTCATATGCCTTCTCCCATCTGCCTCTCCCTGCTTGACTGGAGTCCCAGCCATTACTCTTCCTGGATGCCCCAGAGGCCCCTCACCATTGCTCAGCACCTCCCCAAACTCATTCCCACCTGACGATGACCTCAACACCCTCCTGGGAGTTCACCTCTCCTCCTTTTCTCCCTTAACCCTACAGCCAGAAGTTCCTGCCCAGCTCCAGACTGGCCTACACCCAATCTTGCCCCATAAGGAACTTCCAGCTCTGAGCAAGTCACCTCTGTGCTCAAAAGTCATTCCCATTTCCCCACTTATTGGGTGCCATCAAGTTGATTCCAACTCATAGTGACCCTATAGGGCAGGGCAGAACTGCCTCATCAGGCTTCCTAGGCTATAATCTTTATGGGACCAGTCTGTGAGGTCTTTTATCCTGCAGAGCCACGTGGTTTGAACTGTCAACTTTTTGGTTAGCAGAACAATGCTTAACCATTGCACCACCAAGGGTCCTTTTTCCCCACTCACAGGGTCCAATCCAAGTGCTCCACCTGGCACTGGTGGTTTCTGTAGTCTGTAACCCAAATTCCCTTGCCAGCCTTGCTTTCCGTCCATCACCCCAAAATATGCAAGGACAAGCACCTTTCACCTTGTAGGGCCTTCCTCTCCTTTCTGCTGGCTCATTCTTCCAGACCTGACCTTCTAGCAGTTTACTTGATCCTCAGTGAACTATATGGCACTGATTCAGCACTGGATACCATGCCTCATTTCTCCCTTCATATGAGCGAAAAAATCTAATTTCCTCAGCCAGACATCATCCCTAAGAGAGTAAGAATGTGTCTTCTGCTCATAGCTTCCCTGACCGTCACAGACACAGTCCCTCTGGCCCAGGAACTGTGTCCAGCCACAGCCTGAGCTTCATAAGAATCCCAACACCAAGCCTGAGAGGTTCTGGGTGGCCCACCTGGAAGAAGGTCATGGTGGAGCCAGCGTGGATGGTGCCGTATTCAATGTTGGTCTGATCTGCCAGGTCGTCAGCTGACTCCACAGGCACCTCCATGCGCTGCACGGTGAGGAAGGCGGCCAGGTTGGCCGTGTAGGAGGAGATGATGATCAAGGTGAAGGCCCACCTGAGGGGTGGGAGGGGTAAGCTGCAGGCTGGAGCTACTCTGCCCCCCTGGCCCACTGGTCATGCACCCAGTTGATGGTGCTCCCCCCCAGGGACCCCGGTATCCAGAAGCTCAGTGATTGCTGACTAGTGGAGAAGCTAGAGCATGGATTCTGGAGTGGGACTCCCTGGGTTTAAATCTTGCTCCTAGAGACTTCTACTTCCAACTAGGAGAGAGTAAGATGGTCTGGAAATACCTTCCCACTGGAAACAACTAGAAAATTGGACAGAATATAGGAAACAAATATTTAAAGACATAGGACAACAGGCATCACAGAAGCAAGAAAACATGACCAATAACTAAGAGAAAAGTCACTCAACTGAAACAGATTCAGGATTGACAGAAATGATGGACTTAGCAGACACAGACATTAAAACAACTATTATAAATATAGGAGCTCTAGTGGCATAGCACCCTAAGGCACTTGACTGCTAACCAGAAGACTGGTGGTTCAAACCCACCAGCCACTCCTCAGAAGGAAGGTTGGGCAATCTACTTCCATAGTGATACCACCTTGGAAATCCAAGGAGGGGTCGCTATGAGTCAGATCCGACTCGATAGCAGTGCATTGCATTGTGTTATTATAAATATATTCAGAATACTCAAAGATATAAAGGATAACATACACACAATGAGGAGAGAAATGGAAAAGAAACAAATGAAACTTCTGAAAATGAAAAGAACAATATCTAAAATGGAAACTTTACTAGAAGGACTTGCACAGATTAGATACTACAACTGCAAAGATGATGGAATTTAAAGGCAGCAATAGAAATCATCCCAAATGAAGACCCCTCTGAGAATGAGTGGCCTGAGGAATACTATGAAGTGGTTTTATATACATGTGATTGGAATCTTCGAAGAAGACAGGGAAAGGGGTAGCATAAAAAAAGATACAAAACTAATAGTTGAAAAAATGTTCAAATCTGATGAAAAGACTAAACCTACAGATACAAGAATCTCAATGAACCTCAAGTAGGACAAACACACATATGCATCAAGACACATATAATTTATTGCTGAAAACCATGGATAAAGAGAAGTCTTAAACTTAACCAGATAGGAGTGACAGTAGACGATAGTAGGGGGAAAAAAGACCCTCGATTCAAACATGTTCTATAGAGACCCTTTATTAAGCCTTATGCAGGACAAAGACAATCATCCACAGTGACCGAAAGCATCAACATATCACAGTACAGAAAGCTGAATGAAGTCCACTGAGTCACAGTCATGGTGTTCATTGTATTTGACAGAGTACAAAAGAAATCACCACAAAATCATGATTGGTGGCAGGTCAACTCATCACTGTCAAAGGTGGGACCACAGAAGTGGGAAAAGAACCATGATTGTGCAGGTTAAAAGGGGTTCAGGATTGGCTATTTTTGCTAAATCATTAAGGACATACTCAGGTAAATTCTTTATGTAAGAAGAGCATGCCCAGGTAAGCCCCCTCATTTTTTTTGTGAACACCTTTCTGCATAGCCGTCAATCTACTTTCAAACACATTCCTCCTGAGGGCAAACTGCCCTCCTGATGCCTGCCTTGGACCCCTCTCTGCGTGGCCACATTGCTGGTTTAATGGTCAGAAAGAACTCAACTGGTGTCTGAATTTATGTCAGGACTCAAAACGGAGTTAGGGCTCCCACTGTAGACTTCAGCCTTCCACAAACCAAGTGCTTTTGGAGTTCTGTTGGAAAGTATGAAAGCTACAAAACAGTGCAATGATGTGTTGAAAGAAAAACAAAATCTTCAACCTAGATGGGAGAATTAACTTCCTGCAAACCTGTACCTCAAGAAATGTTCAAGGAAATCTAAAATTCAGATACAAAGAATGAAGAGGAGGGTCATGTACCAAATGTGAGTGATCAACATGGTGGTACTGAGAAAGAGGAAGACAGAGAGGCACATGGGAAGTACAGACAACAAAGATTAAAAAAAAAAAAAAAGAATGAAGAGTACAAGAAATAGTAAATGTTTGGGTAAGTATTTAAAGACATTATTCCTCATTTAAAAATTTTCTTGAAAAGATATTGATGTTTAAAGTACACACATACACAAGTCCACAAAAAGAACATTTTTTTTAAATTGTGGAATTCATAAGATGTAATGCTAAAATATATGATAAGTGTAGCTCAAAAGATGGAAGGAAAAGATGGAAATATTCTATTATAAAGGTAGCGTAGTGCCAAGGCATCTGACTGCTAACCAGAAGGCTGGTGGTTCAAACCCACCAGCCACTCCTTGGAAGGAAGATGGGGCAATCTACTTCTGTAGTG